ACACACACACACACGACGTGTTACTCTGCGCTGCGCAAAACTCCGCATTTGAACAGTCAATAGCAAATACTTAAACTAATAACAAAACAAACCTACAGTCGCTGATTCAGAAGCGCCAGATTGTGATAGCAAAGTCGGAATTGACCCTTTTTTTTTCGAAATAGCCTTTGTGCACAGCCAGCCTTGTACTCTTCTAGGTTCAAAAAACAGTCGTCCATAAAATGCGTTGCACAAATTCAAACATCTGGGTTGTGCTGTTCTGTTGTAAATAAATCTTAACCAATGATTCCTAATTGCATCTACTTCCGGAAGGCCAAATAAAGTGCTTTTGCTTTCGCACTGAAACACACAGCGTCTCCCTGACATGGCTGCATCAACACGACTGCTGTTCCTGAAACCACGCCTTCTTTCTTTGCGTGCACATTTGGGCGGCATTATGCTAATATTTCCACATCGTGACGTAGATATGTGGGGGCGTGTTAGAACGAGCCGTTTTAGGTAGGCGTGGTTGACTCTTAACTTTTATAAAGAATATCTCTTTGGATTTGAGACTTTAGTCTTTGCAACTTTACAGATCTTCTTTATGCACCAAGAGCTTGTAACACTCCAAAGAGAAAGGAAAAATTGAAATCGCATCATATGACCCCTTTAAAAACATTTCGCTCTCAAAAAACTCAGTGAGGTTATATGGTGTTTATGGATGTCAATTTAACATACTAATAAATTCATAATAATGGAGTCTTAAAAAGCACTTTTTAAAAGTTTAACTCATTTCAGCTGTACACACACACACAAAAACAAAACAAACTTTATGTAAATACAATTTTCAATCGACTGAAAGTCCTATGATACAGGTATATGAACTACTGAGGAGACTTAGAAGGTTCACAAATCACAACAGGCAGTTAACAGCTTAGTGGCATCAACTGCTATGCTGTACAGAAATGTCTATATGTGGGACAAAGACAATACAGTAATCAACAAAGCAAGAGTGAAGATTTGCTTTACCTGTGTGTGTGCGATTGTGTCTTTCTAACTGGCTGGGTTTGGAAAAGGCTTTGTCACAGTTAGGGCATTTGAACACTTTGGGTTTCTGAGAGTTCACTTTGGGTCCCTTCTTATGGACATACTCATGCTCCTGAAAGAGAGATATGCAAATGCAAATTTAACAGTTTTTAAAAGTTACAAAGTCCTAAAGGATCAAAATAAAATGTATAATCCCATTCATAGGACAATTAATATCTAGGTACAACTTCTTTGACTTGCTGTTGATTAACAGAAAATAATTTAGTGAATGGTAAACAGTAATATACTTTCAAATGAAATGACAAGAATTAAGTATGTAGATGAGCATTTGGTCATAAAGTGTTACTTGTCTCATCTTAACACTGAGATGCGCAAAAGTGGTATAAATAACAATCAATACGTGCTGTAAACTCTGAGCCTTCGGCATTTTAATAGGGGATATTTTAAAGCGTGATTACTGATAAGAGTTCATTTTACATGGGAAAAAGTGATTGTTTAGCAGCAGTTATGTGTTTATTCATGAGCTGCTGCTATGAATGCTAATTACAATTATAGCTTTGGGTAGAATGAATGAAATTTATATATCTAAAACATGTTTTGTATCTGACTGTTGAATTTGATAAAGCAATGCCTGTGAATTGTTGGTTTGTTAAATTTTGTCATGAAATGGAGCAGATTGCTGCCATCTGGTGTGAAAAAGAAAAATAACATGACTCATGTTGACAATAATAGCCAGGAGAAGACTGAAGTGCTTCCAAATTGATGTGGCGTGGTTAATTAGGGGTGAAAATGACAAACAGTTTGGTGCCAATATGCCAAAGCATTGCAGAAATACAGCCTTAGAACCATTATGGTATTTTTCATATCTCCTGACCACTAGGTGGCACTGTGCTAAAACTGTACAGGTAACATCAGGACATGGTTGTCATAAAGTCTAAGTTTGGTCTGAACAAGATAAAGAGTTGAGGAGATTCATGTCCACTTTGGTGAGCTCTTTGTCAAATTCATTTGTGCGTTATTCGAGAACGGTTGGGTCTATCAAAAAGCTTTTGATAATTTTTTTGCCAGGACCATCGGAAGATGGTATGTGTCAGTTTTGGTGAAAATTGGACAAACTGTCTAGGATGAGTTTGAAAAGTATTTATTTTTATTTTTTTTACATGATATCAAATATTTAATGAAAGGTTTGATTGACAGCAGTGGTTCTTGAGGCAAAGTTGTTCAGAATGAGGAAATCTAACATGATATGAATATTGTGTGTTTGTATGAAACATCACATGATATGAGAGCCGTAAAGCACTATAGTGCCACCTGGTGGCCAATTTCTTTCACATTTCTCACAGACCTGTAGCGTTTGGACCAATCAGACACACAATTGTTCATTAGATTGAACAAATCAATTATTCATTAGATTAACAAATAATCACAGACCCCTCACCCAACAACTATACGGAGTGTATATTATATGTTGATGCATATGCAACATATTAGTGTTCAAAGAATCTTTAAGAATTTGTATATCAACATCCAATCTAGTTACATATGCAAAATACCATGCTTGGAGACAAAGAGTCGGAAACTTTCCCTCCAAAATTTCAAGACACCATTGGCTCTTTGATCCCCAGAGGTGTGACCTCGATAGAAGATAAAGGCAATCACATCAGTGACCCGCCTTCAGTCTAGGTTCTTTTAGATTCTGAGAAGGTGAGGATGCTGAGCTAGA